CGCATGCCTTGATGTAACCGATCATTCTTAAACAGCATAGGCAGCATTGTTGGTCTGGACATCCCCTGAGGCTCGGTTTGATTTTGGAAGATGAATTTAGCTTCCTCACTTACGCAACACCATCTCAGCTTTCAAGTCTGGCTGTTCGCTCAGGCTCACCTTTGACTCCATGTATGGGCGGATCGCTAATGTACCACACTCGCAGGATTGCAGAGAGGGAGAAAAACAACACTTCTCTCAATAAGATGCTTAAAACGCTATACAACCTTTCTGACAACACTGATGGAACACGGTTCCGTCGAGGTCCCCTGTAAGGCATAGAGAGTTGTGGGAGATTCAACAGATGCACAAAGGTATGAGAATCTGCTGGAGGATTTGTTTGTGTGAAGATATGGACACAGGACAAATAACAAAACCCCTATAAACTTGACACAAGCAATAGCAAAACCTGGGGGGGGGAAGAAAAATCGCAGTCGCTTTTGTACGAAAGCCATTGCACAGACGCATACATAAAAGATTAAAAACTCTTTTGTTCTGTTATTACTTGTACTCAGCAGAAGTTCAGCGAAAATGAAAGTTCAAGCAAAACAATCTTACAGATTCTATCAGCGGAGCAACGGCGCGTTGTTCAGTACAGCACAAGCTCCATTTACACAGCATGTGTAAAAGGTGCGATCGGGCAACGAGGGGGCATTGATGTTCTGCCTGATTTAGCACTACAGTTGGATCTGAATGAAATAAACACAATCTGAATATTGTGCAGATACCAGACACAAACCTGGCAGAGAGACGACCAGAAAAGTACAGTGGTTTCTGTTGAATCTCATCTGCAGGTTGGTTAAATACAGACAGGTGACTCCGGGATAACGGATCTAATATCAGATGGGCAAAGACAGATGCACGTGTTTGTCAAATGTGACAAATGACTCGAGGCTACTCATCCATCTCTAAAGCTCCATGCAGAACACAGACACTGTATCTATATACACAACCAATAACACTACATACAAAATGCCTTCTTAGTCACAGGTTTTCAGGTCTTGCTGACCACTTCGTACACGGCGTCCTCGGTTTACGATGTTGAAGATACAGCGTTCCGTTGTTACATTGTCCATACATCCTCAAGATACGGCGTTCCGTTGTTACATTGTCCATACATTTATTACGAAAGTTTTTCTGCATCATTCAGAAGTACGGCATTAAAACTAATTTCGCACAGGATTATCTTCAAACTTCTCCACCTTAACTGTCACTCCCAGAGACGATCGCAGCGATCACAACCTTTCTTCATCTTTCAGTTCAATCTATTTTCTATTAAAAGGCTGGGATCGAGGAATAAATACATATTTTTATAAAAGTTAAATTGAAGTTACTGTATATAAATTTAAAATCGTAAAAATAAATTAAAAAAAGACGATGTGAAAGATCTGAAGTTGATGCGTAATCTTTGTCAATCTCGTTCCAATGTCATCAATCTTAAAGCCTTCCTTTATTGTATCTGCAATGCCTATCTTGTCCATTGTTTACATTAGAACTTGCCATGCACTGCGTAACGTGTGACATTTGTCTGAATGCTGTGCGGTTACAATCGCAACGAGAGTTTAAACAAAGGTGGCCTTAAAAGAAATATTTGTTCAATTTATTCTATTCCATAGGTCGTGCTTGGACACACAACTGAATATGGGTCACATCTTGTGTTTGGTTGCACGTGATTTAGCTCTTTTTACTACATTTAGCTTTTTCTCGATATTCCACAACAGCAAGGATAATATATATTTTTGGCATTTTAAAAGTGGTGCAGTGGTGGCTTAGTGGATAAGGAAGGAGTCCACCAGCTGCCAAGTTACCACTGAGGTGCTCTGAGCAAGGCACCGCCCTCACACACTGCTCCCCGGGTGCTTAAATCTGCCCACTGTTCACTTTGGTGATGGGTTAAAAGTAAAGTTCCAGGTCTCTTTAAATGTCTGTTTGAAACATTTTAGTAACAGTATTAACTATCTTTCCTCCTTAAATGTTGTATAACATTTTATATGATTGCACATTGCTGTCATAGTAGAAAATGTTTAACTATATTTGTCACAATATTTTGTGAAAAATCAGCCAAAGACTGACAATAAAACCAAACACTACAACAGCCAGGTAGGATTGTGATCTCTCTTTAAATGTGCTGCAGGTTGAATTGGATTCTAGTGATAACTCTCTGTCTATCTTTCTTCTCTAAACACATTATTATCACAGTGGCTCAGCGGTGTACATTTACCAAGTCAACAGGCCTCACAATCAGTCATCAGTCATCACAATTCATTTTCTCTGGCACTGTTTATTCACTGTGCACGTGTGCGCACGTACCAAATCAAAGTCAACAACGCAAGTCCTTCTCTACACTCCACAGAGCTCAATTACAGCTCCACGCCCCATTAATCATTTATAAAAAAGCCGCGCCACTTTAGCAAATTCTCACCTGCACCAACGCTGTGATAAGAAGCCCACAACAGGTGAAACAGGCTGCTTTTATCCGCTCTGGTGTAATTTAAAACATTCGCGTAAGCATCATTAACAACTGAAACCCACCATTTTGCTGACGGAAAGTACGCTCATTTTCCCAAAACGCCACACCTCCATTTCCATTCACCCATATGTCTGCATGTCCACTGGGCCAAAGTTAACACCTGGGATGGTTCAAGGGCAGAAAAATGTAGTCAAAAATGATAAAAAAAGACATTGAAAATGATATTAAAAAAATTATAAAAGTCTACGGTTAAACATTTTTAGCCATTTTCTGGGGGACTGCTTCATGTGAATGTACAGCATATTGTTTATTGTGATTACTTTACTTTACTAATACTTACTTTACTTTTATTTTCCATTCTTTTGTAATCTGTTGGTTAGGACTACATCATCAATACAGTTCCCCTTGAAGGACCGGTTGTAAATGGAAGACTGTACAGATCAGGGGTCCCCAAACCCCGGTCCACGGACCAGTACATAGGTCATTTGGTAACGAGTGGTATTGGCTGACCAGACCTTGGAACAAAAAAGGTCAGGGACCGCTGGTATAGATGTAAGTAGTGTAAGTATATCTTATACAGAGATGTTCTCTGTATAAGATATAAGTGCTGATCAACCTGACACTAAGTTATTTAAATATTTAAAATGATAAGGATAAATTGAAATCTCACTCTTTGTGTGATGGATATGTGACAAATAAATAGTGCACTTGAAAAGTTTCAAGTGTCACATATGGTGAAGTTGGACGTTGATTGAAAGGGTGAATGTAATGTAACTGTTACTGTGTCCCTCTCCTTGTCTGTCCCCTTCATGACTGTCCATGCTGAACATGACCCTCGCGTTCTCAATCAAGAATTGTGTGCTGGTCCCAACAAGGCCCATGAACTCATAGGAAGTGTCTCCCTATGCCGGTGCAGAGAGTGAGCAGCCGATCATGACATAAGCACTCCCCAAAACAACCCAAAATGTTAGGTTGAATGACACTCCCTCCATAACACTGTAGCCTCCTCTGTTTCTATTACCGGTGCTGACAGCCTCTATTGTTTCTTGGAAATGGTTATAAATAGGTGCTGAGGCATACGCAAGGACTCCTATTTGTCTCTTTTGCATTTGGTTTTTAAAAAAAAAAAAAAAAAAAAAAATCGGGGGCAGCTGTTTGTAACATGGTTTGTGTTACATTTCATACATTCTTCAGATTGGTATCTCTGTGAAGAACAGCCGGTACTGTTTGTGAAGGACCTGTTTGCTTCCTAATTTTGTGAACCTTGAAGGAGTCATTGTTAGGAGCTGATCCTTCGGGAGTTTTTTTTTTTTTTCTAGACTAATGATGGTGGTTACTTTACCATCTAGTTTTTCCACTGGGCTATTTGGCGGGTGAGGAGGAAAACAGCTACAGCATCACCTTTAACCACTCAGAGAAACGAAACAGCAGATGCACACAATTACCAGTGGTAAAGCGTGACAGTAAACATTAACCATTTAAGGAAAAAGTTCGAGTCATTTGCGGTTGGTATTGAAACACCGTGAATCCTCTGGCACTAAAAAGTTTCCTTACCCAGCAGCTGGACTCCTCTGGTGAGGCCGTAGACATCTATCAGCGCCCACAGAGACTCGGTGACGTGCACGCCGCTGAAAAATAAGACGGGGCTCAAGTCGTTGATCCGGTAAAACACCCGTCCTTTCTTGTCCACCCAGAAGTTGATAACGTTTCCCTCGTTGGAGAGCTCTTCAGGCAGAGCTTTGGCCCAGAAGCCGCTTTGGGAGACCAGGTCGGGGCAGGCGTACTTGGGCAGGGTATCTGGGTTAATCCTGGAGGGGTCTTTGCATGTGAATCCAAGACGCAGGGCGCCGCTCCAGCACGACTGCTTTTTAGTGATCTAGGAGACGGTATTAGAGATAAGGAGTTTTTACTTCCTGTAAGGTTTTGGGTTAATTTGTGTGAGCTGTAACAACACTTAGCCATGAGACTCTGAGGGGTGTTTTTTCAAACGTGTGTTTGCAGCACAGACTTATGCAGTTGATCTGCTGTAAAACACGCTCACACGATGGCAGAACTTTTAAAAACTTTCAAATGTCAACATGCTGGTCGACAACAACAACAAGGGTTTAAACAAACTGAAATTGCTCCCTAGATTTGTTTACCACCTGCAACTGATTTTTACTCTAGTCTAGATTTGTTTTGCATTCACCGTGCAAGATAACAGTTTCCACCACATGGCAATGCTTGCCCCGTTCTCTCACTTTTGAGACAGAGATGGTCGGATAAGTCAAGTGGAAACTTATCTAGTTTTTCCACTGGGCTATTTGGCGGGTGAGGAGGAAAACAGCTACAGCATCACCTTTAACCACTCAGAGAAACGAAACAGCAGATGCACACAATTACCAGTGGTAAAGCGTGACAGTAAACATTAACCATTTAAGGAAAAAGTTCGAGTCATTTGCGGTTGGTATTGAAACACCGTGAATCCTCTGGCACTAAAAAGTTTCCTTACCCAGCAGCTGGACTCCTCTGGTGAGGCCGTAGACATCTATCAGCGCCCACAGAGACTCGGTGACGTGCACGCCGCTGAAAAATAAGACGGGGCTCAAGTCGTTGATCCGGTAAAACACCCGTCCTTTCTTGTCCACCCAGAAGTTGATAACGTTTCCCTCGTTGGAGAGCTCTTCAGGCAGAGCTTTGGCCCAGAAGCCGCTTTGGGAGACCAGGTCGGGGCAGGCGTACTTGGGCAGGGTATCTGGGTTAATCCTGGAGGGGTCTTTGCATGTGAATCCAAGACGCAGGGCGCCGCTCCAGCACGACTGCTTTTTAGTGATCTAGGAGACGGTATTAGAGATAAGGAGTTTTTACTTCCTGTAAGGTTTTGGGTTAATTTGTGTGAGCTGTAACAACACTTAGCCATGAGACTCTGAGGGGTGTTTTTTCAAACGTGTGTTTGCAGCACAGACTTATGCAGTTGATCTGCTGTAAAACACGCTCACACGATGGCAGAACTTTTAAAAACTTTCAAATGTCAACATGCTGGTCGACAACAACAACAAGGGTTTAAACAAACTGAAATTGCTCCCTAGATTTGTTTACCACCTGCAACTGATTTTTACTCTAGTCTAGATTTGTTTTGCATTCACCGTGCAAGATAACAGTTTCCACCACATGGCAATGCTTGCCCCGTTCTCTCACTTTTGAGACAGAGATGGTCGGATAAGTCAAGTGGAAACTTATTGTAAGCTGCTGCCGTTATGGCCACACAAGAGGAGGGAGAAAGAGAAAGACATGGAAAATATAAACAGGTGCTGCATTTTCTATAAAACAAAAGTCACAGATTAATGAGAATGTGTATTCAATTCCAAAGGTTCTGTCTTTAGGTTGTGATCAATAGTAAATTAAGTAGTTTTCATGGCACATTGCTGTATGTGATCAGTATCAGTAAGGGGACAGAAATTCTTCAGTATTAAAATGTATTTTCTGTAGTACAATGTTATGTCTTTCATTAGTTTAGGAATTTTTCCAACTGAACAAATCTGTAAGTTATGATACATATGATAAATCTAGTTGATGAAGTGCAACAAGATTAAACAATCAGAGGCTGGTTCAAGGTTAACCTCACTGGCTGTAACAGTTTTTGACTTGCAGTAAACAATATAACCACCATCTGCTTTATCGTTTATTTTCCCCCAAATAGGAACAATGAGTCATCGGGTTTGTGACTTATTGTTCCTATTTGGTGGAAAATAAACAAAGTGTTTATATTTGAGTGTATTTTTGAGAATATCTCTAACATGGGATTTAGCTCTACTCAGCGTCTTAGGAAACACTGTTTCACTGTGGAAATGTAACTTTTATATAATAATATTCTGATTTCCTAATGGGACAAAGACCGTTTCAGGTGAAGCAAAGAGAGAAGAATCGTGCTCTTTACCTTCAATCGAACTTGCTCATACACAGCAATAGGTCTGTTGCTGAAGGTAATGGCGTTACAGAAGCTGCCCTGTCTCTTGACTGTCCTCTGGGACGTGTCCATAATGATTTGTGAGCCCTTGGTGCTGGGGTGGAACAGAAGAGGGATAGAGGACACGTTTGCACACGGTGGTAAGGGCAGGCAGGGCTTGGGCTTGTAGTGGCATCGCTGGGATGTGGCAGGAAATGGTCCGTTCAGAGAGTCTGTGCATGAGACAAGAAGAAGTGACTGCATGGTTGGGTCAGAAAGGGTAGAGCAGCAGTTTAGCCATAAATCAAAAATATAGACACAGTGTATTTACTAGGACTATGTCTGCCACCGTAACTTTTTCCCCCTGCACTTTTTTCTCCCTTTTCAGGTCTCAATTTAAAGTTCTAATCATTAAACTACTGTGATGAATTTGTTCTATTTGGAGCTTCTCTAGGTGAGGGCAGAAACACTAAGAGCATATCAATGTGCAAAGTTAATTACATAAAAGATTGTCCTTGAGTGAAAGAGAGAATCCCGAGGACAGAGTTGCCTCGTTGGTTATGTGAGTACGGCTAACAAACACTCGCAAATTGGCCTTGTCTTTTACTTCTTTCAACTCAGGAGCACATCATTTAATAATAGTAGTAGTAGTAGTAGTAGTAGTAGTAGTAGTAGTAGAAGAGGTTAGTAACATTAAAGAAGGACGTTTCTCATTGTAACTGTATACTGCAAGGCATTATGGGTCTGAGATGATGGCAGCAGCCAACAGTGTTTTCAGCGACATCAAGAAGATTGTCAAGGAACAGTTTTGACAGATACAGGACAGTACATGGCAAAAATTAAACGTGATAAAATAGGTCGGTCAATAAGACTTAAGTTGTCCTGAAAAACACTGAACGCAGCAAACATTAGGGGTTGACATTTGATTTTGTTTTTCTCTTCAGATTGAGGTTACTACTTCGTTCACTGCCCGCGGTTTGTTTGATTCTGTTGTCTGCTGTTGGCACATTATTTCATTTTTTTAGCATGTTGTTTTATTTATTTATTTATTTCACAAGTTCAAAAGTCTAAACAACTGATCAGTCATGAAGTTGGACAGGAACGCGAGAAAAACAACTTGAAGGATTTCTACATCTCTCTCCCCGGGCGACTGATGGCATTTTGACTCTCGGCTTAAGCCGCGCTGTTTGGTACTCTACAGAAACTTCTGGACAGTGTGCAGAACGTTGAAAAATAATTAAATATACACATATGTAAGTGTGTGAGTGTGTGTGTATTTCTGCTGTCCACACATGTCCCTACAAAGACTTTTCTGTGTTTCTGCAGACAACACGGAGCTGTGAGCTCATGTTTCCACACTACAGCTCGTACCTACTGTATTTAGTATACACGTCGACGCTGATACATTTCAATGTGACTGAGGTTTGTGGAAATGTCAAACAGCACGTCCAGGGCTACAACAGGCCGCGATGTTTACAGTAATTCTAACAACTTGTAGCGCTTTTTTTTTTAACATTTTAAAAACATCACGCAACAAGAAGTCAAACGTGACTTCTGCAGCATTTTGTTTGTAGTGGGGTGTTGACATATGCTACATTAGCCTGTCTTATCACAGGCCACTCCCTTGGTAATAACAGCAACATCTGAGTTCACGCTCACTCCTCAATATGTGAATTACCCAGAGATCATTCTGGAACAATAAAAAAAAAAAAAAAACATTATTTTTTTTCTGTATATTGCTGCAACAAATAATGGTAGTTTTTTTTGTACCTACAAGTATCAAGAAACCATTGTACCAAAACCATAGAGAGAAAAATAATAATAATCAGGCCTAATTAACATGTATTTTTAACACTCGAGCTGTGTGTGGGAGCAGCAGGATTAGACGACAGAGGCGAAGTCTGAGTGTTTGCTGAGAGACAACTATTCCTGTGATTCAAGGCTGACCTAAGAGGGTCAGGACGTTGATAAAGCACCCTGGAGACGAATCACTTAAGACTGTCAGGATTGGACTCTAGGCAGCAAGTCTGTCATATATTGCGGTCTCAACTGCGTCGGTCTGGCGGCAGATGCAAAGGTGTGTGAGCTGTCATTAATGTCCCTTAATGCCATGAACACACACACGGCCAAGACAACAGCTAAGATTCTTTTTGTAAAAAAAAGTTGTTTATGTAATAACAAAATCAACACATCAGCTTTTAGAAACAGCCCTGCTGTAATATCATTTCTGCTCTATACTCCCATTCAGATTAAGATGGAGTGGATTAACAGCACCCAGAGCAAACTGATGGCTATATAAAGTTAAGTAATCGGATGAATAAAAATACCACATATGATTGACTGTAAACTACAGGTTATTTGGAGCCAAAGGTTCTGGTGATAGAGCAGCTGCTGTAGTTTGTTTACAGTCGGGCGACCTGCGGACGATGTTCCAATGAACAGTGAACAGATCCCTGTCACGATGAGGTGTCAGACAGGCAATGCGAGGAAGGTTGATGTTAGTGAAAGCACCAGCCGACTACAATACGAAGGCCACTGTTGTCATTAATTAGAAGTACAAACAATCCAGGGACAAAGAGAGGCCCTGCTCCACACGTCCTCTGTACACCTTAGTGGTTTGTCTTGTATACAAACTGCCTGAATCAGTGTGGCATCAATATCAAGGTGACTTAAGCACACATGCAGCAGCATGAGCAGCCGGAGGGCAAATGTGTTGTTTTACCAACGTGTCATGTCCTTAAAAAAAAAAATCAAACTGTAGACAACTTACTACAAAGGCCTACAATTACTACTAGGGATATCCGATATTAACCTTTTGTCGATATCCAATATGCTGATAATAATGGAGTCCACACCGACTCCAATATCAACCGATACCAATACTTGCATCCGTTTGCCTCCAAAACTGAGGTAACCAAGAGATTTCAGCATATTTGCCAAAACTCAGGCATTGCGTTATTGGGTTTTCATTATCGGAGGTAAAACCGATAATGATTACAGATATTAGATAATTATGCTAATATCGGGTGGATAACATTGGTCGACCGAAATTATCGGACATCCTTAATTATTACCCAGGAAGACACTTTGTCTAGTAAATTATAAAATTATCCTTAATTATTACACAGGAAGACACTTTGTCTAGTAAATTATTCTCTTGTTTATGTTCTAATTCTATATAAGTTATTTTAGTAAAAACCGATGTCTTTATAGTAAAAAACTTCAGTTTTGGACAACAGGTCAGGCCTCCAAAATATGGCAACTAAATAGTGTGACATGGAGTCACACACAGGATGTCAATGGTACAAGCAGGGAGGATTGCCAAATGTGGAGAAGTGATCCCTGAATGATTCAAGATTCTCTAAGCTGGACGAGGGCCATGACAGGGATTATAGATATTTACATTGTCACGGCCTTGACTGAGGTTTTGTCAAAGGGCCAAGAATTTGTAGCAGCGCCCTCCTCGTCACCTGCGCTGTTGCAGAGAAAAAAGAAAAGTTGTCCTACTCTGTGTCAACTGGCAGAAAATAGCATCACAAGATTTTTTTAATCCCCACAATCGCTGTCAGAACCCAAGGTTTTATTGTTATTTCATGGAAATTATCATTTTTTATTTTATTCTGGCGGAGGTGAGGAGGAAGTACAACAGCAACATTGTGGAAGTAAACAGTAACGGCTGGAAAACCCTGAAACCTTAAAGATGCCAATAAAAAAGAAAATAGGAGGAAAAAAAAAAACACATCGACTTTCGAGAGTTGAACTCCTCCAACACAACTACAACATTTGTCAAGAGCTTCATCATTATCAAACTGCTAACTATCTCTAAAAAAAAAAAAAAAACCTAGGATTTTGGAAAATTCAACGATAAAATCCTTAAGATGGCGCTTACCTGTTCAGAAGTGGAAACTGAAAGATTGTTTTTATCTGTTTTGAACAATAAACTCACAGTAGGCAAAACAAACAAACGTGACATCACTGTGTTCCTTTGAAAAGCCAAGTCAGAACAGTACCATTGACAACAAAAACCTAAGGTGTAGAATGTCCTAATGCAGTTTCCCAAACTTTTTTTCTGGGGACCCATATTTTAAAAGTCACAAACATACCCAAAACGTATCAATAGACATATCTGTAAACTCCTTGGAAACATGATGCAAGACGAACCCAAAACGTTTGTGAACCACCTGAGGGTCACGACCCAGTCTTTGGGAAACAATGTCCTAACGTATTTGTTTCTCAAATATTTATGACACCATTGACCATCAACAACAGTGGAATACATCTGATTTGTTGACACTTTAAACCACAGTATAACACGAGAGATTGAGGTGAAAGTATTTTTAAATAAGTTATTGTAAGCCGTTTTATGTTCTGATGTTCTTATGCGAGTACTGACTGTATATCAGACTACTGTATTTAATTATATGTAGTAGAAGTTGTTGTTTTTAGTGTTTAGCACATTTAACGTACGATTCCATGAACAAATCGTATTTATTGTACAACAGTTAACAACATTAGTCTTTACCAATACATAACATTTCACTTGTATCAAAAAGCAGGCCAACAGCTAGTTATGTATTAGCTATTTATCCTGTGAGTCAGAGGACAACACGGTGTCTGGTTATGAAGTTGTGATACAACTGTGACCAGCTGACAACATGTGCTCAGGCCAATAACCAACCACATACTTAATAGACTATAAATAATATAAATTCGATTAACAGGAAGGACTTCTTCAACCCATGTTGAAGACAAACATTTTCACCAAACAAAGAATATTTGGTTTTAAACAGTATGAAAACTCCACTTCTCTGAGGCAGAACATCGTAAACAAAAGTTGTCTTTGTGCAACGAACAATAGAGATGTGACAAATTGGGATAAATGTGATATAATTACACAGCGGGTTTAATTGTACTGTGACTCGTACTGGAGTAAAAATCGTGATTTCACGCAGTCTGTCGTTGTTCAAAGTTAGCCAGAGAAGCTACTTCGACTTATTTATTTTAAGCACCAATGACGCTCCTATACAATTTCCATCGTGCAAAGTCTGCACGAGCACGCGCTCAACTCCACTCCACTGACTTCTACTTCTTGTAACGCTGCCGCTGAATTTATTAATGAAATAATTATTTTAAAAAATTAAAAATAAATGAAAACAAAGACATGACAATAGTTCCTGCGACGTCACACGTCCTTACCGTAGATCGTGTTTCTGGTGATCTGACCTCCCATGGCTGGATGCAAGGTGCGGTCACCTCCACTCTAACAGGCTGGATGGTCCACACTGACTCACCGGCGACTGCGCGTCCTCAGCGGTGACATTGTGCGCACTCGACGCCGCTGACGCAAAAGTGGCGACAATGACAGAGCGGCAGGTTGTGACAGTTGTGGCTGAAGCTCATCCGACATTAACCAGGAGACCTACAATAGACACACACTCACTCCCCCTCTCTTTCACACACACACACACACTCACACATAAACACAGCAGCTACCTCGAGTCGGAGCAGACATCAGGATCACGCTGGAATTAACATAAAAGGTGGGAGTGGAGGTGGAGCTTCTCAGGAATATTAACGCTGAAGTCAACACAAGCTCCACTTTTATAATAAAACACTGACAGACTAGAGCAGCAGCTACATTCTGTTTACAAAGACTCTCGTTTTTCTGTATTTATCTTTGTACTCCTAAGAAGATTAAACTTGATGATTATGAGGACATTGTTCTTAAGGAAAAAATTAAACTTTAGAATGGTTTCAGTGCATGAAAGCCTAGATTTAACAGGTTTTATGTGCATATGGGCAGCGATGGTATATTACGTGGTTAAATGCTGCATCTTTTCAAAGCAATACTAATGACACACATTTTCCCACAGGGAAAACGAAGGACCTCACCTGCTCCACTCTCTGTTGTGCAGCCTTTCCAAGAACAGGTTCTATTGGGATTTTCCCACCCCTCCGTTGACTAACCTGTTTGCTTTCCTAACGCACTTTTCATTAGTCACCCACTTACAAAAACAACTAAAAGCAAAGTAAGGTGAGAAGAACATAAATGAAACCGACAGATAGTAAAACACACAATGATTGAAATTACTTTTCTTAATGCACCACTGAGCGCTCGATATCAACCAATGACACGTTTCATATATTTTCATATAGGCTTTCCGCAGCTATAATGAGAAATTACACTTTTTTCAGACATTTCAGATTTAAGTGGCCTAAAAAAAGATACCCACAATTCCTACTCTGTTTTCACCGGCGGAGTAAGTACGAGAAAGTGGTCACAATGTCACAGTCCTGCTCGCTGTGCTGTCGCCTGTGAATAGTGTGCAATACAGACATGGTATCAAATAGCGGAATAGCCTATAGACATTGTTAGTCTTTGCATCGAAATGCAACCTGGCTGTCTACGACAAAGGAATCTACAGTTTGTCAATGTGTTGTTGTGTATATACAAGAAATGGCTTAGTACAACTTTTTCATGTCGAATACCTATACTGCAACTTGGAGCATCTGTCGTTAACGATATCAATCAAGTACCTCCAATAGTGTCCCTGTTTACAAAATGTCGCTCAGTTTAGTTGAGTGTTTGGGCTAAGGTATCCAATTGGACCACTATAGTTTTGTTTTGTTTTTTTTTTAATGTTCAAACCTGAATTTTTGATAATAAAATTGGACCAATACCTGAGTTTTGGATCGAGCCCTCCCTAGTGCGTATATAATAATAAGCATCCAAATAATCCAACGCACTTCTTGCATTACAGCACTGAAAAAAAGCAATCAAATCTATGTTAATATTGTGGTTCTCGCCACAAGTAAAAAGTTTACAGTGCAATAAATGCTGTGGAACTGCAGCTGATCAGTGTGTGTGTCAGCTGATCTCTAATCTGTCCTGAGGACAGATTGCATTCATGCATGCTCAGCAATGTGACCACATGCATCCTCAAACCATCTCCATATGTGGTTTTTGTGATTGTATCTGAGGACACATTCCAGAATCATTAGTGCTTGGAGTTGAACTTATAGAGCTGTCGACATGTGATTGGATCTCCAGGAACAGATGTTGATACCAGCTCTGAGCAAGGTCCAAATGCCAATCACAATTTAAAAATCTGAACTCTGACTGAGGGTTTTTTTTTTATGTAGAAGTAAACGCTAACATTATGGTTTTACATTGACATGTCCTACCATTTTTGATATAGAAGATCAGTTGTAGCTTGACACTTTACCTTTTCATGTACAGAAAAAAACATATTTACTGTAGAACTTGTGTAAGTGCCGAGTTACATGTTCAGAAATGGCAATATTGCCTGTGTTCTTGGCCCATACATAACTAACGCTGGCAGCCAGGCCCTGCAAGGCTCTGTATTGGCTCTGGAACATTTACTATATTCTCTTGGTGTTTATACAAACTGATTGCAGTCATTTCAACTGTCTGCAAGTAATTTGCTGCTAGGATGAAACCATACAGTGCAACATGGGATTTTTCATGAAGCATGTATACAGTCATTTTACGTAAAATGCACTCAAACAAAATTGTATTCTTTGCAATAATTTAATAAGAATTAAAAATAAAATCTGAGTAGAAACGCGAGCAGAACACTGAGGAATCAATAGCATGCCTCCTGTGGTGATGGCAGCCACGGTTAACAGAGTTTGGCATGCCAGCTGATCAGTGCCCTGTCAAATCTGTAGCACAAGGAAAAGTATTGTTCACTGTGAAATGATAAATGATGATCATTGCAGTGATATCACAGCAGCTTGATTCCAGCTGTGCACCCGATCAGTTGGCTAACATTTCTACATATGTAGAAATGAAAGCAAAAACAAAACATAAAAATCTATTACTTTGCTTGCAATACGCATCAAACATTGGCAACACAGGGCAGGAGTGATATAGGATCCCAGTAGGCAACAGGAAGTTAGTCACCTAGACTTAAAGCTTAAAATTCTCATGGAGGGGCTTTTAATTCCTATAAAAAATAAAAACAACAAGCTATAAGCTAACCAAAACAGTAAATCCAAACCAAAAACCAGATTTTAATGAATACTACAAAGAAAAAAAAACATGAATAAATAATAGCATGTTAGCAATTTTTGCCCTTATACCCTACAAAACGTCACATTTGTAGGGGTTACAGATTTTAATGAATACTACAAAGAAAAAAAAACATGAATAAATAATAGCATGTTGTTTTATTTGGCCCTTATACCCTAATGTCTCTGTCATTGGTGTGGTACATTAAAAAGGAACTCGAAAAGCTCGAGATAGAGACAGTATGAGAAACAAATACCACTGATGTGTGTTTTATTTGTGAGTCTGGCCCATGACACCCCTGGTCTAAGGTTTTTAGAGTTGAAGTATCTCTTTAAAAAATAATCAATTTAAAAAAAGCCAATACTTTTCGATTTCACAACTGGCCCTTTAATGAACTTCGCTTCTCTAACAATTTTCCATTTGCATCTTTAACTCTACAGTAAAATACCCATTACATCCCCAAAAATTCAGAGAAAATATAAAGAAACTACAGGCGTGCTAGTTTATGTATACACATGCTATATTAGCATGGGGCAAAGTTAACACGATAATACAGCGTAGAGTCTGTGTACGCTAAAGTCAGACTGACTTGTCCTCCGACAGAAGATTATTTTAGATTAAAGAGCGCCTGGAAGCAGCAGCTGCCTGGTGGGCAGTGCTGGTGCGGGTCCTCCGTGGACATCTTGACAGCCTTGTTTGAAGCAGCTGTGTGCACGCTTGCTCTCTTTGGGGATGATTCATGCTGAACAAAAACACCATTCAGCTCAGAGTCTGGCCCCCCCGTCCTGGAGCCATATGCAAAACATTACAGCGCAACACAAGAGCATCATATGATCCCCACTGTGGGGGTGTCAACTAAAAGGGAACCCCACCCAGCAGGCATGTGCCAAGGGTTAAATCAAGTTGTCCCATAACATTTAAAATCCACAAAGCCTAAGGACGGATAATGAGGAAAAACTTTTTTGATAATGAGATCATTGTCGAGCGAACCGTAGCTTGAAGGGACTCGCAGCGTTTCTGCAGACGTACCGCGGCGGAGTTTATTTATTGGCAAGAATTACGCATGTCAATAGACAGAATTTGCAGTTGTAATGCTGGCAAATAGGTGCACAGAGTGTTCTGTGTTCACAACAAGTCATTATAACATTCCTCTGTGAGACACAGCGAAGACTTTTACTGTTATTTACTCACTCCAATGATACCCAGCGGTCGAGTTGCTTCATTCCTCTGCGAAGATGTAAGAAGAAGTTAATCATCGCTGGTGTCGAGCTGATTACAGAGGATCCTGACAGAGGACCAGGGTACATGGGATAGATAGAATGTGTAGACTGTGTTGAAGGTGATAGTGAAGTTACTACAGTACTACCTACTATAGTATACTGCTCTCTATTTTAATCCTCTCACTCAGCCAAAACGTGTTGATTAAGAGACTAATGGCTCCCTGGATATGAAAAAAAAAGTTTTTGGGAAAGACATGTCTGGTCCAGAGGTCAACCACTGATCTTTGGATATAACTGGACATCTGACGGAACTCACTCTCTCTCTCTCTCTCTCTCTCTGTCTCCATCTGCCTCGCCATCATTTTTCAGCCTGACTCACTCTCAGTAATCAGGGCCCAGATGTTTCCATCTGTAAACAAGACCCATCAAGATGCAGAAGTTTAGGTTATATTTAAATGTGTGTCAGTTCGTGGCTCAATGACTTTATACATTTCTTTCATCAGCAGGTTGGCATTGTCGTGAAAGATTGTATTATTTTTAAAATTAAAAACACTAATCTCTCTACTGCAAACAAATTAATTATTTTATATTTTACTATTATTATTAATAATTACCACATCACTTGATAATCTCTCCACTGCAAACAAATTAATTATTTTATTATTAATAATTACCACATCACTTGATAATGTTAAGGTAAAAACCAGGTACCCTGGTTTCTCTTCATTGTCTAAACACATGCAGGATCAGGATCAGGCTAATTGGTTGCGACTGCGACTGTGACTGGCTGTTTGTCTCGATATTGTGGTCCCGTAATGGACTGGCACACTGTCCAGGCTGTCCCCTTCAGCCAATGACAGCTGGGACTGGCTCCAGCTGCCTCGCAAAAGGATTAGGTGGTAGAAGACGAATGAGCAAGTGTTTCAAGGACACCGTTTCTAAAACGGCAGAATGCTGAGATGTTTTGTGAATTGGACTGTTTATCCAACCTAATGATTAGGGAAGTGGCACTTTGGCCCAGAGGCAATGTCTCTGTCATTGGTGTGAGACCCCAGGGTTCACCTCCTGGGTAAGATTGAATCCCGGTTAGGGCGGTTGGTACCTTCCAGTGGACTCACCATCCGCAGGAAGGTTCAGGGGGGTTGGTACGGTGCAGTGTGATTTGGGATACGGACGGATGGATGGACGGATGCT